GGGGGGTTAAAATGAACATTTTGAGTTAAAACCGAGGCAATTAGTGAGGGACATTCTGCAGGGGAAATCGAGGTTCTCCCAGCAGGACAGGAAGGGACAATTCTGGGGTAAAACCTGAGCTGGGCAGGGGAGGTTTGGGGGTCAAACCCAAGTTCCTGTGCAGGGGACAGAAGGAAAGTTCGTGAGGGAAAAGCAGAGGCAAATTGGGAGGGGGAGCAGAGGTGACATTTTCCATAGAATTGCTGAGGTAATTTGGATGAAACAAAATCACCTTTTTTGTGGGGTGAATCCGGGGGTACCTTTTCGAGGAAAAAGGAGCCTTTCTGAGAGAAAGGCTGGGAACTCAGAGAAGACCAAGGCAGCATTTTGGACAGAAAACCTGGAGTTCCATAGAGGGGACAGAGGTGACCCTTTTAGCTGAAAACTGGGGGTAATTTAGAGGGGACACGACCACTGTTTTATGTAGGAAAGGGGGGGGTGATGTAGAGGGGAGAGAGGTGGCATTTCAGAGGGAGTGGCTGAGCTGGTTGGTGAGGGCCGAGATGGACTGCCAGCTGCAGACTGAGCCTGGGGCCTGAATCCTTTCCAGTCAGCAGGAGCTGTTCCCAAATGCCATCCCCTGGCTCATAACTCGGTAAGATTGTGTTCCTCCAACCCAAACCCCATTGCCTTAGGTGTGTTTAGTTTGTGTCTGTGAGAGCTGGGATTTTGGCTAGAGAGCTGTTGTTGGGAACAAAAGGTGGAGTAAATCTATTCCATGGATGTGTAAGGAAGGACTGAGTAGCAGGGAAGGGGAGGATTTATAAACTATATCAGTATTTGACCCAAATTTGGGGTGAAGCAGTGGTGGGGGTGGTTGGGTTTGGTCTGGGCCGGTCAAGATCAGCCATAAACAACTTGCCAGACCCCTGAACCCTCAATGGACATGTCCAACCCTTCGGCAGAAACCCAAGTCAGCAATTACTACAGAGGAGAAATTTTTGAAAAATTATGAGGAGTAAAATGAACTGTTCTTCGTGGCAAACCTTCTGTTACTCCTTGTGCAGCCTCTGCATGCTGTTCTAGGAGTAACTGTCCAGGCTCTTTCTAACAAAATCTGTTAAAAATTTAAATGTAGGATTCAAATTTGGGTCTGCTCCCCACAAAACTCCTGCAAAGCCTGAAGGACT